AATGAATACTGGGCTGTGCTGGTGAATGATATACTTCTTGTGCAGGAATTGTGTGCCTGGATTTTCTAAGTAACCCAGGAGAGGTTTAGACCATTACGAATTTGAGGTTACTTTCATTGTTCAATCTTACTATCAGTAGAACAGAAAAAACTATAGTAGATTCTCGCAGTCACCTTTTTTTTTTTTTTAACTATTTGGATTATTTGCCATTCTGTAAATTCCACTGACCAATGCACACAGTCTCCTATATACTCCTTGCTTGTAAGCCACTCTCTGCTCCTTTTGAGTTGTATGTTTATGAAGAGTTCGTTGTGTTTTGTTTCAATTAATTACATAGTTTGATTAAATATTATATAATTCAGTGAAATATAAGTTGTATACTTTGAGAAGCATCACCAATAAGGGATAAAATCAAACCTGCAATATAATCCTGTATATTCTTTGTGGACATATACAGATATAAAAGCCATATAAATGGGAATGAAAAATACCTAATTCAGGATCATTGTTACCTCTGGATTCGGAGGCAAATGGGATCAAGAGAAGTACACAGTGGGCTTCAATCAAATCTATAATGTTGAATGTCCTTTGTTTAAAAAAATGCATGAAGCAAATATGTTTAAGGTTTGATTAAGATTTGATAAATACAGGTTTTTGATTCACATTTTTCCTATTCCTATCTTCCTTTTGTTTGTCTCTCAAGACTAAGCATTGGGGGGGGTTGGGAAGAGAAGGCAAACCATAAGACAGATTCTTAACTATAGAGAACAAACAGGGTTGCTGGAGGAAGGGCGGGGCTGGGTGGGTTAAATGGGTGATGGGTATTAAGGAGGGCATTTGTGGCGAGCACTGGGTGTTATATGTAAGTGATAAATCACTAAATTCTATTTCTGAAACTAATATGACACTATATGTTAACTAACTGGAATTTAAATAAAAACTTGATATAAAAAATATTCAAATTCTTCAAGTGACTTAATATCTGGACTTGGTCAGGCCAGTGTAGAATCATGAAAGGACTGGCTGGCACTGTCCCCAAACTGTGCAAAGAGGTATAATTGTATTCTAGTATCCAGAGCTAGATAGGAAATACCCAGCAACTTAAACAGTGAATCTTTGTATTCTGCATTATTCTTTAAGACAATTACATATTTATGGTCCTACCAGCTAACTTTATTTCCTGAAATCTGGTTTCCCTCTGAGCTCCCTAATGGCCTTGGGCCTGGAGAACAAACATGTCTAGCCAGACAGACCTTAGACAGGCCCCTCATACTGATATCTTAACCTTTCCCTTGACCAACTCATCTCTGAGATGATTTGTGTCCATTTATTTGGTTTTGAATCTGGCCTGCCGATTGGTGAGCCTCATGAGGTTATTCTCCATATCCTGTCTCATGCTGAGGTTGCCTTTGAATGCTTTGTGGAAAATGAATAGCATTGCTTAATCTAGTACCATCAGGGCTATTTTTTTCTAGATCAGGAAGGCAGTCAACATATTTTTTAACATCTCATAAAATTGCATGCCAAAATATCACTTGTTTCTTTAGGGAAAAATCATAAGAATTATTAGGAAGTGTAAAATGAATAGTGTTGCCGAAATTGGAGGGAAAGAAAGAGATGTCATTTGACAACAGCATTCCCTACCACCACCACCCTTAGGCCTTCAGTGGGGATTGAGTCTCATCTTTGTTCAAAATAAAAGGTCATGAAGTTGGCTATATGGGCCAGTTTGAGAAACCATTTTAGGAAAGTTTTTTCTTCAAACCAAAGAAGTGATTAAAATCAGGAGATAGTTTTATAGACAAGTGCTTATTTTCTTTGTTTACAATTAATATTACTATTTTAGGATATAGCGAATTGGAAACCCTAAACGGTCTCATCACATCTTTCTCTAGATAATTATAATACAGTTTTCTTTTGTGGAATATCTTAAATTTTGTATCTTACAGAAATGATGTTGAATAATAGAAAACCTTATTTCTATTCCTTTCTCTTCTGCCCATCTTGCTGTATGACCTTGGGTAAATCCATTTTCTTTGTAGGGTCGCTCAAATATACAGTGAAGACATGCAGTATTCACCTTACCACCTACTTTCAAGACCAGCCAGACCACAATGCTCCATTTTTGTGATTCCCATCTAAATCCTTGATGGGCTGTAGGCAGAATAAGGTGCTACTGCCCTCTGCTGGTCCTAAGAACACACCTGCCCATCAGTGCAGTGGCCCTGCCTATCCCAACAGTAAGGGACACAGTGCCCCTTGCTTGTGGTTGGGAAGACATAGCAGGAAACCACAAAAAAAGGAGGCGAATTTCATGTTTAGAAAAATAATTATTTTTGAGGTATTTGGAAATTAATGACTTTTTATGCATATATCAGATGCCATAGCCATGCGTGACTGCCTTGTCCCCAAGACGTATTTATCCTATAGTCACTTTTCCCCAAGCTAGTTTCTCACTTGGTAAACACGTTGTGGGTTCTGACCCTTTGAGCTGCTGTCATTGTTTTACACTGTCTTTCTGCCTTGGAACATATATAGTCCACTTTTTTGGGAAGATTTAGGGGAGTTTTTGCATATTCATTTTTAGTTTGTCAATAAATAGGAAGATAATAATTGATAAGTGCCAAGGAAAGTGAATATGCAACATCAGCAAGAAAAATGCTGAAAAAGAAAGACAGGGCTTCATTATACTCTCAGATCCCTGGGGAGCTCTGTCAATTTGTAATAAGAGATCTCTAGTTAATAATAGCTTTTTTGGTGTGTCGATGATCCTGAAAGTACTTTATGTGAGAAACTGATAATTTGTTAAAAGCTCTGGTTTTCTGAGCCCATCTATATTAATTTCAGAACTCCAAGATTTTAAGAGCTGCTATTTATTACATCTCATTTGTAAGAAATAGTAGTGCCTCTGATTATGCTTACAGGAAAGGCAACTGAGAATTATGCTTTTGTCTTGTTTAAATTTCATGCCTTTAAAATCCCTTTCAAAATAGGTCTGTGCACTGCTACGGAGATCATTATTAGTCCTTAGATTACTGTGGGGCAAAAAAAAAAAACATGCAACCTACATCCCAAGTATCTACGAGCAGAGTATAGGAGGAACATGTGATTCACTCTGTGGCTCCTGCTTACGTACTCACAGAACCACATTTTGCCCATGATTTCCCATTGGTAGATAGGAACTGTATTTTAAACAAGTATATAGGCATTATGAAGATCAACAGTGATCCTTATGCAGCTTACCCTTGGGGAACTCTTGATTTTTGTTTCACAGTCAATCCCAACTTATAGCCACCTGATAGGAGTTACAGTCAGTCACCTCAGCAGCAGTACATAGTCCTGTCTTGAAAGGGACTTACACAGGGGATGCAGAAATATGTAGACCCTCATAGGTAAAATCACAGCCATCCCACTTCCATAGTAGTACATATAAGTACTACATAAGTACTACATTTCATGGTATGTGTGGTGCCTATTTTTAGTTCTAGGTTTAGTCTGCTCTAGACCAAAAAGGAAATTAGCACGTATTGAGGCTATCATTTTTACCAAGTATCTTATTCATCTGTTATGCATCCCTAAGAAATGAACCAACTTTTGCTACATAACTGTTACATATGTAACCTTATAGTAATCTTCAGTGTCCGATATTCCAAGAGAGAAGTCAGTTTATTAAATTGCTTTAAAAGAAAACATATCAGAAACTTTAGTTCTACTCAATTCCAAAAGAATAAAATGGACAAAAAAATTGTCTGTTGAGAATGTTACCTGCTGTTTGCTGAGAAATGATGGATTAAAAAAGTTTTTGAAACATCTTTAACCATTAGAGATGAAAGCAAGAGCTGTGGAAAGAATGTTTAAATCATTAACTGAAACTTACGATATGAATCATATGTACAAGTAAAAGTACAGTGTTAATTAAAATCATATCAGATCTTCAAGACTGTGTATTACTTTGGGAAACAAAAAAAAATTACTTTGGGAAACAAAAAAAAAACAGGTTGTAGAAAAAAACAGACAGCACTGCTAATTAGTATTTATTTTATGATGTTCTTTTGCAAGACAGTTTGGTATAGAAAAAAGAGCAGGGGCTTTGGAACCAAACAAACTTTGGGCTTAAAAACCAGTTTCACTACTTATGTAACTTGTCATCTGACTTTAGGCTATCACTTAAACATCCCTGAACTTCTGTTTCCTCTTCTTTAAATTGGCAATAATAATGTGCATCTCATATTTAGTATTAAATGAGATATGTAAATATTTATGAAGTACCCCAAATGCCTGCAGAGTTAGTTTTCCTCCTCTTTATTGTAAATCACAGAGTAAGGTTTACTCTTACTTTGAAGCCCAGCAGGAAGTCCTGGAAAGGAAGGTTTGGTTTGAAATTACCTTCCCATGACCAGACTTGGTTACCAGAAAATGCCCTTAAGCCCAGGACACTCTGCTAGGGAGTATGTGAGGCAGGCAGCAGCCTTGGTGGAGAGGTAAAGGGCTAGAGTAGGGAGGGTGTGATTCTTCTTGAGTCTCAAATGCATGATATGCCCTCATTCTGTGTATAAGGCCAAGCTGCAGGCTCACTCACATTTCAGTTAGTGCCCCCCAGAAATGTACCATAGAAAAAATTTTAAATTATCTGAAGCTTTATGTTTAGGTTTGATGGATTTCATATACATATTCCAATTGTAATAAGAGCTACCAACTCTACAGTGTGCACACTACAGTGCCAGGTACCTTCCATACATTCTCTAATTCATATGATAACTTTGATTTTAGCTGTTGCTAAAATGTCCATAAGGTGACTGAGACCCTAAAGGATTTGATAGCAAGCCCAAAGTTGCCAGTTAAAAATGAATTAAGTTTTTGATTGCTAAGTTTGTACTGCCCTAAGATATTGTTTAGATAAGCCCTTTAATGATATTTGTGGTTAACCATGACCCCTGTAATTTTCTGAATTGTCATGACGCTGTCAGCCCTGTGGTGATGTGTATTATGTGTTCTCACAGAAACTGGCCCCTGGAGTCAGCCAGTTTGCTTACACCTGTGTTCAGGACCACCCCATCTGGGCGAATCAGCAATTTTGGGAGACAACCTTCTACAATGCAGTGCAGGAACAGGTGCGCTCCCTGTACCTCTCAGCCAAGGAAGATAATCATGCCCCATATCTGAAGCAAAAGGTAAGAGAAGAAAGATACTAGTGTGGGACTGGCATCCTGGCTTCAAGGAAAGCTTATTCATATATTCCCAGGGCAAAAGGAAATCTAGCCACTTTCTACCAGTGTATTTGAGGTTCATCCTCAAGTGGGAGTCCTGTGGTGATCATCTTTCTTCTGTTGATTTCTGATATTATATTTTTCCATAATAACTTCTTAATATAGTTCTTTAGCAGTGGAATTGTTTTATTACATGTTAATAAATAGGAATTCTTTGGAAACAATTATAGGAAGTTGAACAGAAAAAAGAAAATGAAAATACCTGACCAGATGTCTTGTACAATTAACTTTCTGAAGAAATGTCAAATTAAAGCTAAATGACTCTAATAAAAAGCTTTTGCACAGCAAAGGAAACAGTTGACAAAACCAAAAGACAGCCTATGGAATGGGAGAAGATATTTGCAAATGTCTAATCAGATAAAGGACTAGTATCCAAAATCTATAAAGAACTTACCAAACTTAACACCAAAAAAACAAATAATCCAATCAAGAAATGGGCAGAAGACACAAACAGACATTTCTCCAAAGAAGACATTATAGATGGCCAACAGACACATGAAAAAATTCTCAACATCACTCGGCATCGTGGAAATACAAATCAAAACCGCAATGAACCTCACACCAGTCAGAATGGCTACAATTAGGAAGTTTCCTAACAAGTCAGGAAACAACAGATGTTGGTGAGGATGCGGAGAAAGGGGA